TATATTGACATAATTAATAAAGAATAATAATAATAATAGTAATGATAATTAAATATATGAACATAATATATAAAGGTAACATATGATTAAATAATGTTTAAAATACAATTAAAACATGGTATAAAAAATAAAAATAATAAAGCTTGTAAATGAAAATATTAAACTTAGGGACTAAATTATAATCTAATAAAATTAAATACCTAATTCATAATTAATTATTAAAATTATAGGGATTAAACATGCTATTTTCCTTATTTATTAATTTGGTGACTAAAATATAATTATAAAAAAATTTGAATAACAGATTAAAATAAATTAAAAATATATACTCGGGTTTAAAATATGATTTATTAAAACTAAAGGACTAAATACGTATTTATCCTAAATATATTATTTAATAGAAAGGACTAAAATAAATAAATCTAAAATTAAAGAACCAAATTATAAAGATCTAAAATTGGGTTCAGTGACTAAAATATAAAGTTTACAAATTCAGAGGACTGCGGAAAGGATTTAATCTTTACCAAATTACACACAGGTCCTCCCTTAAACGACGCCTTTTAAGAGAGGGTATAAATACCCTAGGCTGGCTGGCCCGAAGGGCCAGCATCTCATTTCTCCTTTCTTTCTTCTCTCTCTCAAACTGAGAGAGAGATTTCTCTCTCGCCTCTCTCTAGGTTTCCCTCACCGGAGGGAAACTGGCAGCCATAGGCCACCGTACTCCGCCGCCGGCCACCGCCGCCGGCCACCGTAACGGTGGTCGGAATTCACCAAAAACACCCCAAAGCGTAGATCTAAATGCCCTAAGACCGATTCCGGTCTTTGTTTTCCCTAAAAGACTCCTAATCGGAGTAAATCTACGAAAATACCTTCGGTATTTTCTGTTCTCCGGCGATGTTTAGTGCTTCCGACGGTGGTCAAGGCTCCAAGGGTAAGTTTCTTTTCTTCTTTCTTTATTTTCCATTTTTTTTTCTGGTTGTTGGTTGCTGTTCGTATCTGTTGCCCTTCTTTTTATACTTTTTTTTTTCGTCTCTTTTCTCTGTTGCCGTCCGTTTGTGTTCTCCTCCTCCTCCTCCTTGTTTCTTGCAGGGGACGGTGGCTTTTATAGCCACCACCGGTGATGGCTTCAGACCGGTCCAAAGGATGAAAGGCCGGTGAGTCACCATAGCTATGGTGGTGACTCACCATAGGGCTCGACGTGGACGGCTGTTATTGTGGAAGCAGAGCTTCTGGAGTCTTCTGTTGGTGTCGTCGTGGTACTGGTGTGTCGACAATGGCGGTGGAGGCGTCGGCAGTGGGGCATTGGACCACCTGGCAGTGAAGCGGCGGTTGGAAGCTTGGAGATAGCTGAGGCGGCGCCGCGTGATTGCCCTAGGGTATCATACCCTAGGGTTTTTTTTGTCTGGAAGCATCAGGACCGTTGGATCTTGGTCAGATCCAACGGCTGTGAGCAATGGCGGCTGGGGCATGAGATGAGAAACCCTAGTTGGGTTTTAGGGTTTGTAAAATGGGCCTCCGGGTCCTTTGGGCTTGTAATAATTATTTAATAATAATATACTAATAATAATATTTAATAATAATAATAATAATAAATTTAATAATAATAATAAATTTAAATGAAAAAATGATGTCTACAGACCTAATTCTAATCTAATCAAATAAATCTCACAAATGACCGAATCCTTGAACATTTAGTAATGTTTCTTCCTTGACATACAGAACACTGGCGGATCTAGAATTTTTTTTAGAGTGGACACACATATATTAAAGAAGAAAAATCAAATTTTTAGAAAATTTCAGGGTGGACACACGCAAACCCTAATAGCAATGTGGATCTGCTAATTATATAGAATATATCAATAATATTTTCTTATGTGAATGAGTTAATCTCAGACTTTGATTTTCCCCGTCCAACGATCTTAAAAATAGATAACACTAAAAGTTTTACGTTAGAGATAAGTCGATCCTAACCCAAATATATATATATATATATATATTAAGAAGATGGAAGACAAAAAAAGAATGTGTTGTGATTATTGCAGGGAAAGCTAAAACCCGGTTGTTAATTAGTTTAATATAAGATGCAATGTCTCTTTTCATCTAATTATCTCAATCACTCATTGCTTTCCACTCTCTCTTTTCTCTTCCTTTTTAACAACATCATATATATTTTATGTCAAATATATTATAATGTTTACCTAAATTCGAATAAGATCAATTATGTTTATTTATGAAACCCAAGAAAGTGAAGATGAATTATAATTTATAGTATTAGTCGACCACTGTAAGGAATGATACTGGAAAGGTGGCGGGTCGCATATTTCAATATTTTAACAGTTTAACTTTTTATATTTTATGTTGGGTTGACATAGATAACCATGATTAAACTCATTAACAGACAATTAGACTTAAGATGCTGTTAGGTACCCCACCTTCATGAATTCTACATATAATGAACACACAAGGAAATCATATTCAAAGATTACCGGGAGTGGCTGTAAACAATTAAAATTCATAGCAAAAGTGAGCATCTCCTGTATTCATAATATGGGTGAAATATCTTTCTACATCTCTTTAATCTCTCAGGCATCAGTTGTCTTTGTTAATAACAGGAGACGGCATAGTGGTGACATATGCTTGACTTTGTTTTCTCTATTTTCTTCGCTTATTAAACAACGTATCTCTAACTTGAGTAGTGACCATTGATGAACGGTGGTCGGCGGCGTGGGTTTAGGTTTGCGAGGGTCACGGCTGTAGAGGAGGAGTCGGTGCGAAAACACATAAAAGGGTAAATTAGAACTTTGTCCCTAAATTACTTTGAATTTATACAATAGTCCCTAATTAGTATTTTATCTAAAGTTTAAGGGTTCAAATAAAACTTAAGCCTTTTTCTACTAACGTACCACGTCATTCAACTCACGACAGCTAATGTCTCAGTGACCACATCCTAATTAAAACAAAAAGAAAGTGACCATATATTACGTTTATTGAATACAGTGATCATATATTTATAAAACTGAAACAAAAGTGACAAAGTCTATAGTTTACCCTTTTTTAATAATAGTATTAATATTTATATATATTATTTTTTATAAAAATAAATATAATATAAAATTTCCATGTACTTAAAATTCAAGTCGGGCTCGAGTTCGAGCTTCAATCAAGCTAAATCTGAAAATATTTTGAGTTCAAATTTTTTTCGATCTCAAACCAAGCTTCAATTCTTTAACTCGAGTTGAACTTTAAAATTTTAAGCTCCATCTACATGCATGTGACTTAAGACACACTCTATATACAATCACTACAAAACAAATATATCTATGGACAAATTGTACTAGACAAACTAAATAAACATACCAAAATACATAAATCAATAGTAAAAGACTTGTGTTTTGTATTTTATTCGGAAGAATAACTTGAAAAACAATCAACTCCAATTGTAAAATCATCCAACATGTAACATAAATTCCCATGGAAACAATGGGTGGGGTTTGGGAATGATAAGATGATATTTCTGTGTTGAGTCAAAATATTAAAGTTATTCGATTAAGAGTCGTATTTTACAACTCGAACTTAACTTGAAATTTTCTCTAGTCAAGTTGAGTTTAAGAAATTCGACTCGGATTATTCGAGTTTCTATACTAATTTATATTGTATTATGTAAACAAATTATTTCAATTTTTCAACTTTCTCTAATATATTTATATATATATATATATATATTATTTTCACATTATAATTTATTTAATATATAAAAACAATCTAAAATTATAAAATATAATCATAATATTATAATTCAAAGTATTTTGAGGGTAAAATATCGATGAGAGTATAAAGGAGTCTAAGAAATTGATTAGAATAAAAAATTTGCAAACAATTGTAGCCAAAAGACCAAATTGAAGAAAATACAAAGTTAAGGGACTAAATAAAAAAGAGAGTACATTTTCAATAAAGAGTAGAAATTGAAGTTATATAGGTATTCTATTGTGGTATATGAGCATGTAGTTCAAATTTGGTAAAAAAACGAACTTAAAAATAAAGGATGAATTGATGAAATAAGGAGATTATGAAAAACTGATAGACTAAATTGAAAAATAGAAAATTTATTATTAAAAAGAGGAATTGAACGTACATGTTCTAGGAGCATGTAGTTCAAATTTGGTAAAAAATGGTCTTAAAATGGAAAAATTAAATGAATAATGAAATCAGGAACTAAATTGTAAAATATCAAAACACTTAGTCAGATTTTTTATTTCTCAAGTAACTCGAAATTTCAAAACTTCAACTCGACTCGAACTCGAAAATCGAACTGACAATTTGAGTAGATTCAAACAACTCGACTCGAACTCGAAAACCGAATTGACAATTCGAGTTGATTCGAATAACTCTATTTGAATAACTCGAAACTGAAAAAAAAAATCGATTTTTCGAGTCAAGTCAAGTTTTGCTCACCCGTTATATTTCTCCTATGCACCTAATGGCGTCTAGATCATACAGCCTAGTGTTCAAGGCAAATAATGAAAAAACCCTAGTGAACTTTCTTTTCTAATGAGAGAAATGATCAAAACATCAATGATTCAAACACAAATCGAATACCACAAAGCATCAACAATCTACATTAAGAATCAACAGTTTCCACAGCAACTAATCACATGTAATTGTTTTTCCTGAAATCAAATTCAAGGCAGTGGAGTTTGATGCAATGCCAATATGCAACTTCTCCATGGACCGTGCTAATATATGACCCAACACAACAGATGGTGAAGTGCTAATAGTTCTTTTCAATATCAAAATGTTAAGAAGATTTTGATGCATCGCATGGACTACTAATCAACCCTAAAGCTATAGGCTGATCAAATGCGACCATAAGGCTTCCGTACTAATAATCATCAGGGTGAAAACATCATACTAATCATCAACCGAATCATCTCATTATGAAGCCAATTAATAAGAAAACTTGACAATAAATTTATCAACTGAATCATCTCATTACTTCATTGGGGACACCAAAATATTCTTAGTTCAACAATTACTTTAAGGTTCATACTAAATTAACCAAAAAGACATTTTTCTTTAAGTTCTTTGAAATCCAAAAAACATACTACGAAGAACGATAATTCGACAAAGTCATTCCCACTCTACACCATATAACTCTTCAGCGGTACTGCAAAGAAGACAATATACACAGACACAATTAAGAAACTGTTTAAACAAACAATTACGAAGATTAGGATTTAAAATAACATTAACAATCAGATTAGTACCTTGATGAATCCAATTTCCTTGGCATTGCTACGGAAGCATTGTCTGCAACACATGAGACCGTACTTCCTAATGATGGCATGAGGGTTGCCACAAACACGGCTACCAAAAAAAAAACACAATCCTAAGTTACTGTCCTACAAAACGCAAAACGAAATTGACGAAAACCAAGACAAACAAGTTGAAACAAAATCTCAGGATGCCATAATTCATAACAACATCGAACTAAGCAAATCCCCTTTAATTAAAAGGTTATATCGTTGGATTTTTCACTGAAAAAACAATAACCCAAATTTTAATCGTTCGTTCTAGTTATAATATGCCGAAAGTAAAACACCTTGCGGAAGTATAAGTACTATATGATAATTGATAGGGAAATCGAAGAGTGAGGTAAGAAGGAAATACCAGGCGCGAGAGCCGGGGCCGTAGGTTTTGGGGTGAGAGTTCCAGACGTTAGAGTGACCCATTACTGATTGACTGCCGCTATTGCACAAATGCTCTGAAAACGAGAAACGGAGACTGAATTGAAAACCTAGATTTCCCGGTGGTGGTGTTTGGTTAAGTAGGAGAATGAAGGTTTATATAGGCGGAGCTTAAAACCCTAATTCCGAAATAAAGCGGGTAAAAGCCAATTTAGGCCCAATTAATGTGACTTGTGGCCCAACTGGTTTTTATGTTATTTCAATTAAACCGAGTTCAAAATATTAATAAATGAGATAATGACAAAATTACCCCGCTCATTTGGCGTCTTATCATTCTTTTTTGATTATTTTATCCTCTAACGTTTTATTTTAGAGCAAAATGTCACATGATTGTATGAAAATCGTTAGTTAACTAACAGTCAACGCTTCCTATTGATGTGACAGGTCTACATGTAATGCCACATCATCAAAAAATTAGTTTTAAATTATTTTTAAATATATTTTCATATGTATATATATATATATATATATATATATAATTATTCTAAATTTTTTTTATTGATGTGGCATCACATATGAACATACTACGTCAATGAGAAACATTGTTCGTTAGTCAAATAATGATTTTCATCCAATTAAGGGGCATTTTGCGGTAACATGCTCCAACAAAAGGACATGGAGCAAAGTAATCATTTGTGCAATTGTTGGGAGAATTTGTTATTATATCTTAATAAATTAAAATAAATTCAGATCAAATTCACATATAATAAGATAAAAGTACTTGAATTTGAAGCAAGTATCAACCAAACTACTTTAGTGATAAGAGATTTGTTATTATCATTTGAGATCTCATGTTCGAGCATTAAATGTGTCAGGGGTATGAACTTTCATTATTGAATGATTTAGAGTTTTCAAACAGATATTATCTTATATTAATACCAGATTTATTTTCAAACAAATACTAATTTTCATTGACTAAATTATTAAAGATATATATATTATTCGACCTTTTATGGGTTCGAATCTTATAATTTATCTTAGAAATATAATATCTTTATTTAATACAATATATAAAATCTTTCATTGACGAGGGTTTCATGATAGAAGGGACAACAGCGATAAATGTCATTTCAATCTCGAGATTTGATAAGAATGACGAAAAAAATATGGTGTGAGAAACACTCGGGAGAATACACTGTCCGAAGCCACCGTATCAAGGTGGCTAATTCAAGATTACATACTCCTTAAGAGCCCACCGAGACGAAGTGGCTCCCTCCCCCACCAAACACAATAAAGGTAAACTTCAATGCTATCTACGAACAAGCCGAGAACAAGTCCTGGTCAGGAGTGATAATTGAGAACAGCAAAGGACTAGATATGGGAGCATGCAGAAGACTTACACGATGTATTCCAACGACGTTTGCAGCTGAAGCAGTAGCCGCAAACCACGCCCTTCAGGTGGCAGTAGACCTAGGGTTCAGTAGGATCATTCTAGAAGGGGACTCCAGAAACGTAACTTCGAAACTAGCATATGCAGAACCAGATCACTCAGAGATAAGTGCAATAATAAGCAAAGCACCGAGCAAGGCAACTAGTTGCATGCTGAGTACAGACACATCCCTCTAGGCAGAGACAGAGCGGCGCACATATTGACCTTAGATCGGAGTCTGGGAGGAGAACATGTCTTTTGGGTGGAGGAAATTTCAGATAAAGCAGCAAGACAAGCAGTTGCTGACAGACCATGGCTAGACCCATCATGAGCACGAGCCAGAGAATGAGAATTAGCGCAAAAGATCTATATTGTTAAGTTTCTTTCTTCGCGAAGATTTCATAGAACCACTTAGAAGAAGACGAAGAAGAAAGTAACCGGATAAAGAACTTAGATTTCATTTATATTTAGTTTTGTGTTTACAGGTTTTGTTTTATGTGAAGTATTAATGAAATCCGGCGGTTATATTCGTTCAATGAACAAAATCTTATATTCGTTTAATTAAATAAACTGAGATGGACAAAGAGTTTATTCATTTATTTATGTTCGTGAATGTTCGATAATTCGTTTGTTTATATTCGTTCATTTATATTTAGTCTATTCTCCAAAACTCATTTAAAATATTAAGAACTCATAAATTTTAACCTTAAATTTATTAATATTTTAAAATTTCATTAATTTTAAACCCAATTAAAAAAATACCTAAATCAAGTAAAGAAAATATAAACCCTAAAATTATTTAGAAAGAAAAAATTCTTCTAAAATATAAACCTGAATAATTTTATGTTTGTTCGTTTACGTTCATCCATTTGTTTCGTTTATCACTTTAACAAACGAACACATACAATCCTTAATGAACAACATTGATAAAAAAAATCCGTTCATTTAATTGTTCATATTCATCATTTGTTTGACTAAAAATAAACGATATTCGATAATCATAAACCTAGTTCCTTGAAATTCCCAAGGTAATGTTGCTACCTTGGTATTCCTCTAATTACCAGAAAGCTTTCCATTAAGATTGTGATCAGCTGATCGATACTATTAAATCCAAACTTAATCTGTGGTCTGGAAAAATGTTGAGCTTTGCTGGTCGTCTGGAGCGAATTCGAGCAGTCCTATTTAGCGTTTCCAATTATTGGTGTAGGCAGCTCTTGTTCCCTCAAGCTGTTATCAATAAAATCGACCAAGTATGCTCCTGATTCTTCTGGAAAGGAAGTGACAAGGTTGCTACAGGTGCGCGAGTTAGTTGGGAAAAGATTTGTTAACTTAAATCCGAGGGTGGTCTAGGATTGAAAACTTGAAACTTTGGAACAAAGCTTGCATAATCAAACTTATCAAGAACATCCTAGCAGATGAGGGATCGTTATGGGTTGGGTGGATCAAAAGTAACGTATTAGGAGAAAGATTTTTGGCACATTGAAGGAAGCCCCAATTTCAGCTGGAGCTTCAATATGATTCTAAAGCTTCGGTCCGAAGCTTGCCCTGCTATCACGAATCAACTATCACCATCAAACATATTTGGCTGGAAATTAGATTGAATGGAGACAAAGTAAAATGACATCCTTTGATTTGGTACCCTTATCATATTCCGAAACATAGTATTATAGCATGGATGACTATTCTTGATCGACGACCCGGGATCGACTTTTGCGGATGGGGATTACCTTGGGGAATTGTGTGCTTTGCAACGAATGATGGAAACTCGGTCTCACCTATTCGTTGATTGTCCATTGGCTGCTAATTTATGGGACTCAATATTGCTTCATAATGGGTTAAAGAAACCATTTTCAACCTGGGAAGACTATCACATGGCAAGCAATAACTGGAAAGACAAATCTCTTCTCTCAACCATTTTAAAGATTGCTTGGTGTGCCAAAATCTATGTACTATGGGAGGAACGCAATAGACTAATTTTCGAGGATGTACAAGGACTGCTGACGACCTTTTTGCTTGTTAAAAGATTCTGTTTCTACCAAACTGAGGGGGTTAATATTAATATGTCTGATAGTATCAATATATTTCTATGTAATTCTTGGGGTATGATTAACCGATCTTTTATCTTGTAAGTATGGTGTACATATGATTTTTGTGATCAGTTATTTTTTATAGCAGTTATTGATTCGTTGGGTAATAAAATGAATTATCAAAAAAAAAATAAGTAATACATAAGTAAATAACTACTTGACGTATAAAATAATACCAAATATAAATACACTGAAATACACGAAATACCAAGTTTATTTATAGTCATTCTGCCCTTATAGAAGGAAATTTTAAGTCTTGCTTCCCAAAAAAAAAATGAAAAAAACGTGTTAAAATTTAAGTTGACAATCTTTTCTATTAATACTTTCAACAATAGATTTTGATCAAATAATTTTTTAAAAACGAAAAAAATAAAAAAAATTAAGACTAAAAAATTAAAAAAATTAAGACTTTTTTTTTTAAAAAAATAAGAATAATAAGGATGTAATTAAAATATTCAAAAAATGAAATGGATTAAATTAATTTTTTGAAAACTTCAATGGATCAAATTATACTTTTCTAAAATTTTAAAAGGGTTCCATTAGTACATGTCTATGTGCATTGTCCGTACAGAAATGATATTAAATTACTTATCATTTGAACCAACAAGTAGATAATTACTTTTTTTATTTTCATATATTCTCAATTCTCCTAAATATAGAATTAACAATTAGACTATCGATGATATACAATTTATATGTGAAGAATTACCTAAAAAAATAAATTTAACAATATTTATTTAATAAATTGGTTAAAGTTATCCATTCAAATTTATGTGTACCAACAATCAATAACCTAAAAATATTATACAACAAATTAACAAAAATTAGCAAATCAAATTTATATATTTACTAAGAATCGAACATGATTCATGATGGATCTAAAAAATTTTTAAGGTGCACGCATATATTAGCAATACGAAACTTTTATATGTGGGTAGGTACAATAAAATTTTAAGTGCACGTGGACAAACACAATATCTTATGTTAGGACAAACTTCTAAAATTTTAGGAGATGATAAAATTATAAAATTATCTGTCCAGCTCAGTTGGTAGAGCGCAAGGCTCTTAACCTTGTGGTCGTGGAATCGAGTCCCACGGTGGGCAATTCATAATTCAGAGTCTCTCACAGAAGCTGCTCTAAACATGACGTTGAGAATCCTACTATCTTACTTCCCCCTTACCAAAATAAAAAAATATTTAAAACAGTACTAATTTAAAATTTTCAGAAGGACTATTGTCCCACCTGTCTTTCTGGTCCATCTCTGGACAATCAATGGAACAAATTATTAATTGAAAGAAATTAAAATTACATCCGTCGTAAACATGACTTACTATTATATTTAAATTAAATATAAATTTAGCACGAATCAATGATCTTGTTGATAAAAGATTGTTGTTATTCTTATCTCGAGTTCGAACATTATGAATATGAGGAGTACGAACGTTTAATGTCAATGATTATGAGTCATCTTTAAAAGATACTACGTTGTACTTACCCTATATTAATAAAAAAAATTAATATAAGTTTGATCACAATTTGTAAAAAATAAGATCCAAATTGACAACACAACTTCAACTTTACCAGTTTTATCAAGGTCTGGCTGACCTAGATTTCCAACTTCCATAA